CCGGTCCTCTCGGCTCAGCCTTTCCAAACAGTCGGGACTTATGTAATTCCGCGTGGAGCCGATGTCTACGAAGGCACCACATTTGCGGCCTCCTACAACAACTTCCACGACGAAATGTTCCCCTCTAGGACCTCTACTTAGTGCCACCCAAGATTCGCGAGGGTCCTTGCTTGACCACTCACTTTCTAAATCTTCTAAGGCTTCAGACACATCTGACGTACTGAGCATGGTTTGGTCTCGGTGTGTCTGCGGGGTGACTAAAGAGTCATTAGCTATGGCCATCTCATAAAGTGGGGAGGGTATCTGGCCCACTTCACCATGAGTGGAAGCAGCTAAAACTTCCACCGGCCTCAAGTGCTTCCTGAGCAGAAAGCCTGGGAAGAAGGCACCCCTCCCTTGGCGGGTATCTTCTGCGTGACCTTTGCGTTCTTGCACTTGTACTGGGTGTGTCCGTATTCAACCCAGTTAATGCAAGCACCACACACTCGACGGTCCCGCCACACTTCCTGATCAAGACCTGCCTTAACCCAATCTGCTACTTTCGACTGATTGGAGGCGGTCTGCCCTCGACTCTTTTGATGGCCCTTTCCTCGGCCACCTGCCTTAGTCTTTACTACTGCAGCGAGAGTGCTACCCTCAACGGTTTCCTCGCCGTCGTACTTTGTACTGTCCATCAGGTCAGAAAGCTCATCGATCTCGGTTCGGGTCCCATCAGACTCAACCATCATCAATCGACTCCCCTTCTTCTTCCACTCCTGTGGACTCTTCTTCTTCCTCCCGTCTACTGGAGTAGGTTGAGCACTTCCCAAGGTAGCCTCCAGATCTAAGGCCTTTCTGGAGAAGGTCTCAAAAGAATGATACTCGAGGCGAGCCTCGCTGCTAGTAAGGTCCTGAGATTCTCAGGCAGACATCTCAGAAACATGGTCAGTAAGACCTGATCATCATAGCGTATATCGGGCACGACGATGAGGTTCTCTACAGTAGACGTTAGCTCTCTGACAGACTTGTACCTCCGCCGGTCCAGTCTCAACATCGTGTCAGTGGCAATTTGTGCCTGCTACGGATTACGCCATCGAGCTTCTACCATGTCCAAGAACTCCTCTAAAGTGAGGGTTTTACCCCAATCTGCCATGCGTCGTCCGAACCCGGCCTTCGCTACTATCCCATCCAGCCATTTGGCTGCCTTACCTTCAAGGTAAGATGCAGCAGTAATCACCTCCTCCTCCTGCAACGTCCTCTTTGCCCTTACCCACATTGGAACTGTTCTCAACCAAGTGTTGAGTTCCTCGTCCTTCTTCTCACCGGAGAAGGCAAGGGGCGATTTCATTGGGGTCTTTGGGTACCATGGACTTTGTTGTTGTCCCTGTGGTGGAACAGTTTGTAGCGGCTGTGGTGTAGCTCCAGCCGCTGGACCAGAAGAAGAAGCAACAGTCTGTGCGGCTGCTGCAGACGTACCACTCGGCTGTGTGCCAGCTTGTACCGGAAAGGGGCCTGAAATCGCCGTTAACGGCAACGGCGACTACGCTGCTGGACGTAAACCTGGCCTTTGCAAAAGTTCCAAGATTTGGTCCAAGGAACTCTGCATGAAATCCAGCCTACTGTCCACGTGTGCATGCAGCGACAGTATGCTGGCCTTCAACATTTTCATTTGGTCAGTCATGGTTGACTCGTCCAAACCCTCTAATGCAGCTTTGTCTCCCTGTAGCGTATCAAGCCTAGCTGTTCTATTTTTGATCTCTTTTTCTTTATCGGTAGCTTGCTTCAGTTCCCTCTCTAACCGTGCGCGGATCCTTTCGACTTGTTGGAGCTCTAATAGCTCTCTGCCGCGTGCGGTCAACGGACTGAACTGCGAGCCCGCCATTTGACTTGTAGACTGACTAGAACCTACCGATCCGGAAGTACCCGTGGGCCCAGGGGGCATCCCCAACTGGGTCCCAGACGAGGATGCAGCAGAGGATGCTGCCGCGGTAGCCATTGCTGCTGCTCTGGCTGATGCTGCTGCCTGTAGCTGTGGCGTTTGCTGCTGCCAACGCCTGACTTGCAGCTAGTGCTGTTTCCCTCGATGTTGCATAAGCACGGGCTCTAACTTCGGCACGAAGCCGTCTTTCATCTCCCGGCCGTAGGGCCTGATACACGTGCAGGACCCTAAGTGATCTCGAACGTGTCAGCCTTGCATCGTCAACTCCTCCCTCATCGGCGTCTGACCCACTCATCAGTTAGGCAAACACTATCTGCACTACAACCCCGTGCTGGAGTCCTACCACAGCATGTGTGTGACCGGCACCTAATTTTTTAAAAATAAATGTGTCCGACAGGTCCTCTACTTAACCGATCAAGTGGCAGCCTTACAACATTCACAAAAACTGTAAACACAATCTAATTTTATCCAGATTAGTTCACTTACAGAAGCTTCGCATAGAACTGGATATGGTAGTATACTACAGTCCTAAACTAAGCTGTCTGTGAGGTGTCAACCAACTAATCAACAATAAAACTAAATTATGTTGCAGATGTATGAACAGCGGATATGGTTGTGTTTACAGTTGAGCACCAATTGGAACCCACCCTCCCCTCAATCCAACATACCGATGAGCATCTTTGAGCAACAGTGTCATAGGTGTGCAATGTTGGCCCACCCCTGTGCCCCAGGTGCATGCTTATGACCAGGCTTGCCCTTTCTTTATCCTCACGTGCAACGAGCCGTAAGTCCGACTGATCTGGCTGATCAAGAGGCCTATTCAAGGACTGCCCCCAAGGTCGCTCAGGAATTATTTAACGTCGCAATCAGGACGACGATCACACCCAGTGGACAGATCGGATCCCCATCCAGAAATGTTTATAGACGGTTTTGGAGCGTCTGCATAAGCCTGTTCAGTCCGCACACCCCTCTATCAGCGCAGCAAAAGTGCCCTCATGGACAAAGCAGCCATCGCATGCATGTACTACTCCCATTGGGTTGGCATGGTGACCGTGACCCATGTGCTTCGACCAGGGCCCTTCAGAGGCACCGCCCTTTCTCCTTCCAGATGCGCCACCGGGAAGATTGTCGTCTCGGCTTCCGGCGCACACCTCTCTACCCAGGTCGTGCGCCTAATTTCGGCCTGACGTCAAAAGAACCAACTGCGAAGAAGCATCGTCACACCAGCGCACTAAGGTAAGCGGCAAATCGAACCAGCTCCGATACCAAATTGCAAGGAACATGAATGTGGACGAAGCAAAGAAATCCCAATTGCAAATCACACTGAAGTCCGAGTAGTCAAAGCAAGAGCAGATATCACATTGGAACCAAGCAACCATCCATTTGAGAACGATACAGCAAAAGTCGTGAGCCAATATCCAAGCCCAATCGGGAAACACCAACAACATAACCCGAAGTAGCCCTCTCTCATGAATAGCGCCAGGCGCCCTATCTACTCTACAGCCTATCGTACAACTACAGTCATGGAAGCAACCAGCCTACTTGACTACCAGCGAGTGATGACGTCAACACCAATGGCGACCTCCTCTCCACCAAGTACGTCATTCTCTCTCCTTCCTCACTCTCCCTTGCTATCCCACACAGCGCCCTTCACCTTCCGAAAAACCACCTTCGCCCTCACCTCCTCCAGCGCCCTCATGCAGCCTGGCTATGGCTGCCAGCGCCCTGCGCCCAGGCTGCGCCCTACCGCCTAGCGCCAGACTGCCTTCTCTCAGCCCAACGCAGCGCAGCACCTCGCAAATGCACAGCGTGCCGGCCTTGCTCGCATTGGCCAAGATCCTTGCCCCCTCGCCCGCTCTGCCTATATGCCAGTATTGCGTGTGGGCGGCCTCCCTCCAGCCTGCGCCTGGGGCCCAGTACCTGTACCCAGGCCCAATGCGGTTGGGGCCCACGTAATACAGTTGCACCTCTTTCATCGAGGCCTGCGTCCAGATTCAGATAGTGGACCGGTTTCCCATTGGCATTTTCGGCCTCTATGTCCAGCATGCAATGTCGGCCTCACGTTCATGCGCCCAGGGCCTAACCAATTCTGGGGCCCTGGTCCTTCTGCATTTGCGGAGATCTGGTACTTGGTGCACTCCAACCAACTGGCGTGCGGCAACTGTATGGACCCCACTTCGTGAAATGTTGAACAAGAAGGGGCTCTCGTTGATTTGCTGGCCCGCCTTCACTTAGGGCGGGCACGAGGCTTGCTGGGGGCCTCAGCCCAGAACATGTACATCACGGCAAGGCCCCTTTGAGGGCTCAATCCTCAAATATGTATATTATATATATACAAACAGAACTGCCCGGTAAAACCGTAGGCAGAGAGAGAGAAGAGGACAACAAACGAGGGGCTGTGACAAACTGTTTCGTCGGAGTTTCACCGACTCATCTATATTTCGGTTTTTTTTTTTTTTCAACTATTGATTGGCTACGTTTTTTTTTACTTTGAACAGGAGTCCAAGGCAAAAGTTGCTTGTATTGTTATTTTACATAATAATGATAAGATTTTTTTTTTTCAGATTTTTCTGAGAGTCTTTTTTTTCTTTTTTGTTTATGTTCGCGTTCGGAGGGTTTTGGGCGCTTGTTCGCGTTCGCCTCCGAACTCGAACACGGTGCTACGTAGCCCAGGACAACGGTAGAAATGCTTATATACCCCTCCTTCCCTCCTTCCCTCCATCCCTCCGTTTCCACCCTCCCTCCCTCCCTTTCCACCACCCATCTTCCACACCTCCATGCATGGGATGGCTTAAAGTGAGAAGAGCCAAGGTATTTTAAGAGAGAGAACGAAAGAATAACCAATTGAATACATATGTAAATATTGAGTACGAGTTCACAGTACCATGTCCATCATACTTATCCCACTCCCTCCCTCCCTTTTCCTCCCTAGGCCCAAGAAAACCCCCCGCCATCTCTCAGAACAGGGGTGTGCGCCAACGAGGATTAGGATATGCGCGCTCACGAACAGGCATCATACCAAAGTTTCATGAACTTTCCTCGTACTTCACCAGCATGCATGTGCGAGCGCGCGAGCACATACCTGCAACACACGCTCAAATGCTTGGCGCGCTTTGCTCTTATTCTTCAACATTAGATGACAGAGTCCAATCCCAAGTCTAACAGTTGCAGGGCATGACGGATTGACCTCCAGTGCGCTCTAGCATCACAACACGAAGGGAAAAAACAAATCGTGCACAAAAAGAAAGGGAGTTCCAAATTAGCGCAACAACAACGAGCTTATCAAAAGCACCTATGCATCACAGCTTTTCCAACCACACACACACACACACACACACACAAGAAAGGGGCCTCAATCCACTACACAACCTTCCGCATGTATCTCCAGTGTCATGGACCAGATACATTTGGACTGACCGAACATTTTTAATCCATACACTACTATACACAGAAAGAACAGATCCAGATACATGTGGAATGTTGTGCAGTGGACCAAGGCCGAGAGAAAGCGGAAATACAGGATTAAGGGGGGGAGAGAGGACTGCCCAAGCTGACCAAACGACGTAGATACTGATAGGAGGAGATCTGGGGGGCAAAAAAAAAAAAAAGGGTGGAAAAAACAGGTGACGTCAAAAGTAATCAGGTAACCTGCGACTCAGAGCATTACAAGCGGAAGAAGGTGGGCAATTCGGTGGCCTAGTGTTTTTTTTTTTTTTTTTTTTTTTTTTTAACCCTAATTGTATCCAACAGGACTTGAACTCTTCATCTGTTTATTGACAGTTATATGTGTGTCCATTCAACGAAGACTGTCTGGCCAGGCACAATTCAAACAACTGGTGAAGACTTCAAAACCTGTCAAACTTCACACACTCAGGAGCTTAATCCCCTACCCAATGAAAAAGGCAGGAGAGGGGAGGGGCAGGAGGGGAGGAAATGAAAAGCAAGTAAATAGTAAAAATACAAAGCAAAAAGATAAAAAAAGGGAGGCAGCAATGGCATTGTTGTGTATTTCTGACTATTTCATAATGCCTCTCAATGATCCTCCTCCCCCCCGATCCAATCTTCACACACTTGCGAGCACACACGTCCACAAGGGAAACAGGGGGGTACCCCTAACTCTTACAAAGAAAAAGAGCGGGTCTCACGTGATGCTCACATGCGAGATCCCACCAGCCATAGTTGGGAAACAGGCTGGGCCCAAAGCGGGTTCAAGGAGGTGCAGTTGGTGGAAAACCGCGCTTGGCTCTGTGCATATATCGTCAAACAGAGATGCCCGGTAAACCGTAGGCAGAGAGGGAGAAGATGTGCAACTGGCGCTTGGCTCTGTGCATATACGCGCACCTCTGACGGCAAACACGGGCAGATACATTTAAGACAGTGCTGGTGTGAGTCCGCCCATAGGCGTGCCCAAGTTTGTTTTTTTGTCGTTTCCACCCTGCGCTGTGTGTGGAGCTTCAGTTGGACCATCTTCTGTTTTTTTTTTTATTGTTTTCCGCAGCACCGGACTTCGTAAGTGCTCGCCTGTCGCTTTACTTGCAGACGTGGAGATCTGTTCAGCGTCGGGCCGACGCCAGGCAGATCCGTTCAGCGGCGGCCAACGCCAAGAAGATCCGTTCAGCAGTGGGCCAAGGTAGATACGTTTCCTCGGGGATGGTCAAATACAAGTAGCTCCGTTCGTACACCCACGAACTGTTGAAATCCAGACCCGAGTGCGAACCCACATACAATCAGATAACCAAACTAAAATCACTGATACATAGCAGACCCGTGGGTAGAAGAAACTCAACTGATTGCAACCCCAACAGAAGAGATCTCAGGGCATACTCACACCAGGACTTTCTGTCTTAATTCTGGACGTAGTTGCAGTCAGATACACCCCGCCGCACCGTCAATGTGGTCAGGTACATTTAAGATAGAACTAGTCTGACTACACCCTAATGCGAGCTCAAGTCTTCCTATCAACAGTTCACGGCTGTGCCGTTCAGGGCTCTTGAGGCTGAGGTCGTCGGTTCGAATCCGTGCGGGCACGGAGGAGGTCCGAGGCTGATAAAAGTACAGACTGTACTCTACCCCGGTAACCAGCCTGGAAATCAGACCAGGAGTGTGGTGGCCAGTGGGTAAAGCCCCATTGGAGAAGCAGTCGTCCTGGATGAACTGCATGTGCGGCGAATGCCAGAGTGTGGTGGTGTTTGGGTGTGGGTGTGAGTTGAAGGACACTGCAGCCATGCAGGGGTGGGGTGGATATCATGACCGGCACGGATCCACTTTTGCATACCGTGCCAGGGCTAAGCAGTTAAGAAACTTGGCTTTTGAGGCTGAGGTCGCCGGTTCGAATACGTGCATGCACGGAGGAGGTGTGAGGCTGATAAAAGTACAGACCATACTCACAGCAGGACCTCACTCCACGACAAAACACTCTAGCCGTATCTGGAGCTCATAACCGCCCTGCTGCATTCCGAACATTGGAGTGCTTCAAACGCACCTGGTCCAGAAAGGCATCCAAACACATGTAGAGTGTTGAGTTGGAGCACGGCCCTATTTCAACTGTACCCCTGGACGTGATTGCCGTGATGTGCGTCCAGCAAAGTCCTCGTGTGAGTGTTGCCTTAGACACATGGCCTTCGCTTTTTCTTTCTTGTCTGTTTTTCTTTACTTTTCTTTCCAGGGGAGGGTTCGTTTGCACAACCCAGTCCACGAAGCATCGCCCACCTGGCCTACACTGTACCCGCCAGCCCACACAGTGCCATCCACTCCACATATTCTGATCCACCCCATGTAGTACCACCGACCCACATAGCACCACCCAGTCCACATAGTATGAGCTGCAGGTCCTGCACCACAGAGCGTCACCCGACCTGCTTAGTATCATCCACGCCGCATAATACCGCCCTGCCCACATAGTGCCACCCAGTCCATGTACTACAAGCCGCCCCACATAGTGCTGCCCAATCCATGCCCTGCATACTACAGCCTGGTCCACATGCTATGACCCACCTCATGCAGCACGACCCTGGTATCGCCGGAACCACAGAATACCACTTTTTTTTCCCGTGGCCGAGTCTGGATTCTTTTCTTTTGGGTGGGAGCGTGTGTCTTTTTTTAGTACCATCCAGTCCACGCAGTGTGGTCTACCCTACATGGCGCCATCCGGTCTTATGGTACCATCCAGCCCACGTCGCATCATGCATGCCATATAACAGTCCCGTTGCTGTTCCAAGGACGGAGTTGTGCCTAAGTGTATGTGCTTTTTTTCTTTCCTGAGGCTGTTTATGTGTGTGTTCTTATTTGCTGTGCCCATGTATGTGTGTTTTTATTTGCTGTGCTTGTGTGTGTTACTACCATCCAGTCCGCGTAGTATGACCTGACGAACTACCCTGCAAGGTGCCACCCCGTCTACACAACATAGCCCAGGCCACATAGTACCGTGTGACTGTGCCAAGGACCGAATTGGGCCCAAGTTTGCCCATGTGTTTTCTTTTGGGGCGTGGGCAGAAGTGGGAGGGGCAGGTGTTGTGTGCTGCAGGCGTCCGCTTGTTGGGAAAAAAAAAAAAAAAAAGGAAAGTGAGCAGCATATCGCCCACATGCCATGCACACATGAATACAAGTGTAAGCATTTCACAACCAGTCACACAAAGTTAGATGGCGGGGACCACCATAACGTCGGGGACCATCATAACGTCCAACAGACCCCAAAAAAAATTCACAGGCAAGTTCGAGCCAACTTCATGTGAATTCAAGGTTCGAACCGGCTTCCAACGATCTACATACAAGTTTGAGCCAAGCGGCTATTAGAGACATTCAGCGTTTCCTTACCTTATACAACTTGAGAGAGTCAAAATACTTGCCCTTGTGAAAAAACACAGATGCCTGGAAAGGACACCAAAAAAAAAAAAAAAAAAGTGTTAACTTGAGAGGCATATGACCGGTCCCTAATACAGTTCAGCAGATCCAAGCGTCATTCCCCCATTTCTCCCTGCCCCGCCCTCCCGCCCCCCCTCCACTCCCCTTCTTTCCTTCCCCCTTCTTACAGTGTAAACCTCTTATCCACTACGTGCAGAATTGCAAGGGCCAAACAAACACAGCATATTACGAAACGAGAGCAATGCCCACAGGTGCAGGGCATCCCCATCTCCACTTACATCAGCACTCACGCTTTGCAATACCACGCAAAGGGAGGCAGTTCCTGGGGAAGGAGGGTGGTGTCGAGCAAGGGGAAAAGGGTCGAGGGAGGGGAGAAAAAGAAAGAGGCTAACAGGGAGAAGAAAGAGCACAGAGAGTGAGTGGGCAACAAAGTGACAGAGTGAGAGATCGAGAGCGCAAGAGTGAGTGCTAAAGCTAAGCACGAGTCAACCATGGAGAAACATCACTTGTGGTTCTGTGTGCTATCCTTTTTCTTTTTTTTTTAAAGGGCGACGAACTCGAGATATGATCATGGAACCGACCAGCCCCAGGTAATTCAAGAATACTCAGGTCTGCATTCGAACAGTTCATGGATGTACAACTGAGCTAGGCCCATTGGTAGGTTCTGTGTGCTATCTTTTGCATCAATATATCCGCTTTTCGAACAGGTTTCCAAAAGAGGGGTAGGGTTGCTATACAAGAGTCCACAAGAGGCGCATCTCTATCGGAAGAGGGGGGGAAAAAAGACTTTCCAGAAAGGAGAGGGACATAAATGGCTTGGAAAACATGCGCATCTCTGTGCAGCTGACCTGTCCAAGAAGAGCGGGCACGTTATTGGGCGTTCCATCAAGCGCGATCTTAAAGACTTCATATGCTTGATCAAGATCACCCTTTGCAAGAAGCAAGTGGCCTGCAGTAATTCAACCAACCATGCACAAAATCTTCAGCCATCAAGGTCTCAGATGGCCTTTCCTCGCCAATGAGGGAGAAGAGAGTGGKGTGGGTGAAGGGAAAACAAAAGGGGGRRGRGGGGGRGKGRGGGGGGGGGGGGGGGGAAGTTGCGAGGRGGGKGRGGTGGGGGAATAAGGATGATCCATATACAAGGCTTTGTACATCCAACAGAGTTTCCTTTTCTTTTGCTTGCATGCTCAGACACACAAGTTGCATGCAAAAGTCCCTCATTGAATCGCCCCCAATGAAAAAAGAACGGTGTGAAGCAAAAAACAAGCAAAACACAAAAGCAAGAACGACGAACAAACAAGAAGCAATGGAGTGTCAGGAAGAAGTCAGAGAGAAAAGAAACAGATGCAGAGGGAGAAAGTTAGGAGAAACAATTACAGGCAGAAGAAAGGCTGCAAAATGGACTTCGCTCATGAATCGAGCCAGTATCCCTAGCTCCTCACTGATGCCAGACTAAGTAACAGCATATACTCACAATTTTACTTTCATGGATGAACCCAACTACATATATGGCTAGATCCAGTCGAGATAACTGCAGTGTGGGTACGCTCTAAAAGAGGAGAGGAGGAGAAAAAAAACAGGCGGAGCAGACAGGAGAAGAGGAGAGGAGAGGAGAAGAGAATGGGAGGGGAGAGGGGGAAAAAAAGCGAAACAGAGGATTTCACAAAACAAAGAGAAGAGAAGAAGCACCCAGCACATGTGGCTGAATGGTACACACATGAGTGTTAACGAACAGGTCATGAGTTCGAATCCCAATGGAACGAGATAGATACTACAACAAGGTTAGGGGCCACCCCGTTTGAAAACGAAAAAGAGAAGAACAGACGAGAGGGCATGAACGTAAACGAGGAGGAGGAGGAGAGGCAAGGAGACACTTCCAGTCACCTGGAAGCTCAGACTGTAGAGGGAACAGGAAAGAAACAAAGTGTATACAAATGTGTTAATAAACAGCCCATATGAGTTCGAATTAGATAGAAAAATACCATCAGGTTATGAGCAGCCCCGTTTAAAAACAAAAAAGACCAGAAGAGAAACGAGGGCATGAATGAAAACAAGGAGGAGGAGGAGGAGAGGACACAAAGAGAAGGCAAAGAGAAGGGCGAGATTCAGAAGAGACACAGCAGGATGGACAGAACAGGGAGAAGCAAAGAAGCAAGGGCATGAGCAACAATGCGAGCAGAGAACCAAGGGCATTTCAATAGCTTCAGCAAGAGGAGCTCATCATATTAACCGCTTCACAAAGCAGAGAAACCTCTTTAACCCCCAAGACAAGATCCCACTTGGCCCGCAACTATCCTATCATGGCCCACTCTGTCCATTCAAAGGTTCAGCAGATGACCCACCAGCTCTCTGCACGTTCCTGTGCGTCCATTCTCTTGCTCAATAGGCAGGTCAGATGGAGAGGGGTGGGAGGTTGGAAGCTGGGACCAGGAAGAGTTAAGTGGAGGACAGTGTCCTGAAGGCAGGATAAACAAGGGTGGAGAATCGCGCAGG